TAACTTGCCTTTGCCTATCATGTTACATGCATCAGCTCTGCAAAATGCCATCTGACCTTTGCAAGACAACTGCTAAGCCTGGCCTTTGCAAGACCCCTCCAAACATTAGTCAGGATGTCAGCCCAGCTTCTCCTTGCCTTTCTCTGACTTCCAGTTCTTTACTAAATTGCTGAGCAGAGGCCACATGGATCAATACTAACTGCTTCATGAACTCATTATCTCTCTGCATGCATCTATTGTTTAGACTGTGGGTTACTTTGGGCAGGAATGTTTATGGGTAGTAGTGAGCATGGTGGGACTCTGGCCCATGTCTTGTTTTCACAGGCACTGTAAAAATAATAGTAAGCTACTCTTTTCCTTTCTTGGCTGCAAGATTTTGCTATATCTAAAGAAGTTTCCTGAGCTCTGTCCAGGACTGGGTCCAAGACTGCCTGAATTTGCCTCTTTCCCTCTGATATTCTCTGAAGCCACTTGTGAAGGAAGAAGGGTGACTAACAAATTGTTATGGGACCTATATACAAAAGCAGGGGGATATTCTAAGGATATTCTTGCCAGACCTATGGGAGAAAAGGTGAATAAAAGTCTTGGCTCTTAAAAAATGTTTCAGATGTGGCATGAGCTTCATGTGTTACAGGTTTGATGGCTTTATGTTTAATCTTCCAAACTGACATTGGCAAGATCGTAAAAATGAACTCACTGTGTGTATATATAGAGTGGGTTTAGGTTCTGTAAGCCTAGGAAGAGTTAACTGATTATATAAATGTAATCTTTAGTCAGCATCTCCCCTTGAAGCTATTTACTCTCCTATTTTTACAGGATCTAAAAGGTACTCCTCATTATCGAATTCTAATTAACAAAGCAAATGGATTTGGCAAATCTACAGCTTACATTCCTGAGGAAGAGATAACAATTATTATGGGATTGGAGGTACCATTTATTTTTCACTCAGTTGCAACTTGTATGTTATCCTGTGTGTTTAAAAGCTGGCTGACCTTTGGCTTAATAGATACTATGAATTTTGTAAAATTAGTGAAAATAGGGAAAGCAGATAGATAAAGAAATTACTGCTGTACTTTCAAGTAAGTGATGAATGACCAAACCCAGGTACTGCCTCCTTCAGAGTATCCCACTGCTTAGTTTTGTAAGTGTTGTAGCAGCTTGACTGTTACGTAGAGGCTGTTGCAGACATGGACTTCTGTTTTAGGGTTTCACTCACCTGACAAAGTTGAATGAGTCATTTAATGCTTTCTACTGGATCTAGCAAAGTATATTGTTTTCTCAATTCCACTCTGCAAAATCTGCATTTCCAAGGGCTCCTGCCCAGCTGCTGCCCAGGCTGAATCATGTCTCCTTTCTTGGCTTCAAAACTCTCTGGGAGCCAAAAATTTGTTTTGTGCATCACAGTCTCGATAGCTTTTGGTTTCTAGCTTATGCAAGTGCACCTGATTCTTATGCTAGTCAGAGACCTTGATTCAGAAAACCAACTTCAGGCACTCATGCCACATATGAACAGCTTTTGCAAGGGAACCATTACTCCTGTGGATGCCTTCTTTTAAATTGTGGATAGTGGTAGTATCTGTATTTGAAATAACAGCAAGCAGCTGAACCGTTCCTCTATGGGAAAATACTTGGTCTAGTCAAGCAGAGGAGATTCAAATAGGCATCTTCGGCCCTTCAGGAGAACCCCCCAAAGGAAGTGTATAAGTTAGACTGGCCTGAAGTCCTGAAACTGTGCCGCTGCACATAAAGGAAAACCCCCCACCTCCAGTCAGTGGGGTGAACACTCTGATACCATCACCTCTTTTATGTGGGAGAAGCCTTAGTTCAAGTCTTTGATGCTGTTTTAGCCCCTGATCGTAATATAAAATGTGCTAACATGCCTGAATTTAGGAGCAGGCACTATGCCAACCCAGGGTAAGTGCTATCAGTATTTAAAATTGGGTTCTGACAACTCTAACTTATGTGTCTGCACTGTTCACTATGTCAGCTGGCTACCTTTGGTTACCTCTATAGTCCCATGGGGAGAAACGGATATCTCATCTTAAACATTCAGTAAATTAGCCTTTAAGATGTCAGATTGCTTCATTCACCTGCATGACAGAATAGTTCTCCCCACAGATTATTAGGAGAACTCATGGTAACAAGATCAGAAAGTCAGGTATTTGAAAGTTAGCTTGTTGAGATTAATTACAACTGGTGAGTCATGCCTATGCCTCACAGTATCACAGTATCACAGTATGCTAGAGATTGGAAGGGACCTCAAAAGATCATCTAGTCCAATCCCCCTGCTGGAGCAGGAACACCTAGATAAGTTTACACAGGAATGTGTCCAGGCGGGTTTTGAATGTCTCCAGAGAAGGAGATTCCACAACCTCCCTGGGCAGCCTGTTTCAGTGTTCTGTCACCATCACTGAGAAGAAGTTTCTTCTCAAGTTTAAGTGGAACCTCTTGTGTTCCAGTTTGTACCCATTGCCCCTTGTCCTATCATTGTTTGCCACTGAGAAGAGCCTGGCTCCATCGTTGTGACACTCCCCCTTTATATATTTATATACACTAATAAGGTCACCCCTCAATCTCCTCTTCTCCGAACTATAGAGACCCAGCTCCCTCAGTCTTTCCTCATAAGGGAGATGCTCCGCTCCCTTAATCATCTTAGTTGCCCTGCGCTGGACTCTCTCCAGCAGGTCCCTGTCCTTGAACTGAGGGGCCCAGAACTGAACACAATATTCCAGATGAGGTCTCACCAGGGCAGAGTAGAGGGGAAGGAGAACCTCTCTCGACCTGCTAACCACCCCCCTTCTAATACACCCCAGGATGCCATTGGCCTTCTTGGCCACAAGGGCACAGTGTCGGCTCATGGTCATCCTGTCATCCACCAGGACCCCCAGGTCCCTCTCCCCTACACTGCTCTCTAACAGGTCGTTCCCCAATCTATACTGGAACCTGGGGTTGTTCCTGCCCAGATGCAGGACTCTACACTTTCCCTTGTTATATTTCATCAAGTTATTCCCTGCCCAGCTCTCCAGCCTGTCCAGGTCCCTCTGGATGGCAGCACAGCCTTCTGGCGTGTCAGCCACCCCTCCCAGCTTAGTGTCATCAGCAAACTTGCTGATAGTACACTCAATTCCCTCATCTAAATCATTGATGAATATATTAAATAATACTGGTCCCAGTACCGACCCTTGAGGCACTCCACTAGATACAGGCCTCCAACTAGACTCCGCCCCATAGACTACAACTCTCTGGCTTCTCTTCTTCAGCCAGTTCACAGTCCACCTCACTACCCGACCATCCAGACCACACTTCCTCAATTTAGCTGAGAGGATGCTGTGGGAGACTGTGTCAAACGCTTTGCTGAAGTCAAGGTAGACCACATCCACCGCTCTGCCATCATCCATCCACCGTGTTATTTCCTCATAAAAGGCTATGAGATTGGTCAAGCACGACTTCCCCTTGGTGAAGCCATGTTGACTGCCCCTCATAACCCTCTTATCCTTGATATGCCTTAAGATGGCACCAAGGATAAGGTGTTCCATCACTTTCCCAGGAATGGAGGTGAGGCTAACCGGTCTATAGTTACCTGGGTCCTCCTTCTTGCCCTTTTTGAAGACAGGAGTGACATTTGCTTTCCTCCAGTCCTCAGGCACCTCTCCTGTTTCCCAAGACTTGGTAAAGATGATGGAGAGCGGTCTAGCAATGACCTCCGCCAGTTCCCTCAGCACCCGCGGGTGCATCCCATCTGGACCCATGGATTTATGGATGTCCAGATTGCTCAACTGGTCTCTAACCCATTCCTCATCGACTAAGGCAGACCGCTCCGTTGACCTATCTTCATCTGAGGTCTCAGCGGTACAGGGCTCTTCAGGACTGCCTCCGGCAGAGTAGACAGAGACAAAGAAGGCATTCAGTAACTCTGCCATCTCTGTATCTTCTGTCACCAGGGCACCCATCCCGTTCATCAGCGGGCCTACATTGCCTCTGGTGTTAGTTTTACCTGCCATGTATTTGAAAAAGCTCTTTCTGCTGTCCTTGACCCCTCTCGCCAGATTTAATTCTAAGGAGGCCTTAGTCATCCTAGCAGCTTTCCTACATCCTCTAGCAGCAGCCTTATATTCCTCCCAAGTGGCCAGCCCCTCCTTCCATGACCTGTAAACTCTCCTCTTCCACTTGAGCATACCCAGCAATTCCCTATTTAGCCACGCAGGTCTCCTGGCCCTCTTCCTTGACTTCCTACGTGTCGGGATGCTCTGATCTTGAGCTCGGACAAAGCAATCCTTGAATGCCAACCAACTATCTTGGGCCCCTTTACCTTCAAGCAGCCTTGCCCATGGGATTTCCCCTAGCAATTGCTTGAAGAGGCCAAAGTTTGCCCTGCTGAAGTCCAGGGTTGCAATTCTACTTGCTATTCTACTGGTCCTACCACACAAGATCCTGAATTCCACCATCTCGTGGTCGCTGCAACCAAGGCAGCCCTCAACCTTCACTGCTTCGACCAGACCCTCCTTGTTAGTGAGGATGAGATCCAGCAGCGCTCCTCTCCTGGTTGGCTCATCCACCATTTGCATGAGGAAGTTATCATCCATACACTGGAGGAACCTCCTGGACTGCGGCTGGGTTGCCGAGTAGTCCTTCCAGCAAACATCAGGGAAGTTAAAATCCCCCACGATGACCACGGCCTGTGACTGTGAGGCCGCTCTCAGCTGCCTGTAGAAGGCCTCGTCAACTTCCTCACCCTGATCCGGTGGCCTGTAACAGACCCCCACAACAGCATCGCCCCTGCCAGCCTGCCCCTTAATTCTCACCCACAGACTCTCGACTCGCTCATCATCTGTCCCCGGACAGAACTCAGTGCATTGTAGCTGCTCTCGCACATAAAGAGCAACCCCACCACCCCGCCTGGCTGGCCTGTCTTTCCTGAAAAGGACATAGCCCTCCATGACTTTATTCCAGTCATGTGAGCTGTCCCACCACGTCTCTGTAATTGCCACCAGGTCATAATCTCCTGACTATTAAAAAAGACCCAAATCTACCACAAATTATGCAGTCGAGTTTCCACATTTGGGGAAATGGCAGGGTTCAGCACACCTGGAGTGCAAGGGATGAGCCTCGCCCTGGGAAAACCACCTGCTTGATCATGGTGTCTCCCCTGCCTCAAGTTCAGGTCTGTAGATTGCCCTCACTCAGCCTTTCCTGCAGCCTAATAGGCAATTTCCTGAAGAGCTGAGAATGATGAGACAATGCTTAGACTTGTCTTAACCCTTTCCCAGTTGGTAGCTCTAACCTGCTCACTTCAGGTTTCCTGCATCATCACACGGCAGGAAACTTGGACTGCCCTTTGTGCAATTGTGTCTCCAACTTAGACATGGTGGTATCTAAGGCCATTGCCTTGGTGTGTCTTCACCATTTCCCCAACTGCTTCTTTACTGTTCCCACTGCCTAATTGGACTGGATGACTGATCCGCTGTTAAAAATAACAAACAGCTCTACCAGCAACACGTGAGTGGCAACTACTTCAGTAAGAAACAGTGCTGATTTTAAAACATCAGTGCTGGTGTATATCTAGCACATAGCATCTCATGAGATGTGCTGAGATGTGCTCAGCATTTGTAGAATACTTTGAGAAAGCCACTGTTCTGATGGCATAAATTAGGTTTATACAGATCCATGATGAGATACATGGAAAATCTCACTGAAAGAATCGCCATGTACATTGTGTATTTAAAAACTCATCAGGAGTTTTCAAAAAGTTACCTGTAGTAATTGTAATGATTCTTTTAGGTATGTTTGTGTTTCTTGCTAATTCTGGTGCTTATTCAACTTGACATTATTTTTGCAGGTGCACCACCCTGATATGAAAGCCTATTTCAGTGGATATGATGGAACAAAATACATTATGCAGCCCTGGTTGAAAAGGATCTATCCTCACGACTGAAGGGTTTGTACATGTAATGTACAAGCAGACAATGTATTTCCTTTTTAAATGGGAGCAAATAAAATTCATGTATATTTTTTTCTATGATGAAATAAAACATTCCTAGGTATATTTTATGTTGAACAATCCATTTCATTGGAAGTGAACACACTGCGTGTTCAATTTACCATGACTCAGGATTGGGATTAGTTTCCTTCTAGATCTGTGAGGAAAGGTCTTTATATAGCCTGGGTTCAGCTGGAAAGTACCAAAGGTTTTGCACATGAAGTATCTGGCCCTTTTACAAGGGCAGAGGAAGAAACTAAATAGTTAAGAACTGTACTTTCAGAGTTAATTGTAACCTTAGAGCTGAATAAATGCCAACAGGAACTGAAATATTTCTGGGGAGAGCTGTAGAACGTAAGTCCTGCAATACTTCAGCTACTCTCTCTATCAAAGCCTGCATTATGCTGCTTTCAAATGAGACATGCAAAGGAAGAGTTCATCTACTTTTTTGCACATGGACAGATATGCTAGGAAACCTTCTACCTGGGCTCACTACACAAACCTCATTCTTAATATCCTCTTCTAACCCTACTTGCTACCATAAGAATAAAGTTAAAAAAACCCCCAACCCAACAAACTCAAAAAAGCATGAAAAATTTATTAATATGTAGGGCTTGAAGATTTCTAGAGTAACTTGTTTCTTCTGTTTTCTTTTCCCTTTATCTCAAACACAGTGAACACTCTACAAGAAGCATAAGCTGTAGCATTCTGGATTCTTTCCTGCAGAGTCAGTAAATCTGGGGAGTTGGGCAGATGACTCTCAGTGTGGCCTCCCCATTCTCTTGTTTCTTCTTCTCTTATTAATAAAGGTTTTCCCAGTGACTGGCCAAAGAGCCGGCAGACTTCCTGGGCCTTCCGTCGGGTGTTTTCAACAGCAGCAATGCAGACTTGACGGCTGAGAGAAAGAAGCAGCAGCACAATAATAATCAGGGCCAACTGAATTCCAAGTATTCCTGCCAAACATTTATTGTATTTTACTTTTTAAAGCCTCAGCTTCTGTAACTGCATAGATGTAAGCACATCACCTGCCATCAGCTTCTGTGGGATACCTTAGGAGTATCCCAGATGCTCCTAAACCACGCTGGCCTGAGCTCCAGGCTAGGTACCTTTGAGATACGCTCTGACACCTGCAGAACTGTGAGCAGCAGCCAGCTGAGCTTGCTTCTTGCACTAGGCATAATTCTTTTGTTTAAAGAGGCAAAACCCAAACCAAGACTAAAATTCCCTCTGCCCCTGCAATATCAATAGAAGCAGCACTTTGAATAGTTAAAACCTAAAATACCAAGATTCTCAGCTTCAAAGTATTGTGTTTCGATGCTGAGCAAGCGCCACACATGGTTCTTTTCAGATCATGTCAGCAGCTAAGAATAATTGGAATTAGCAAGGGTACTTTGAATTACCAGCATCTGGTAACACACTTGTACCTTCACAAATAAACACAAATTAAATCTACACGTGCTGATGTAGTGACAAAAGTCACATTCTGTTGACCCAGTATTCACAGTAGCTTATCTTTCCATTTACTACATTCTCCTTTTGCACACAGGCACTGTCAAAAGAACAAGCTGTATCTTCTAGGCTAACCATTAATTTCTAAGTTATGTTTGAAACAAATACTGAAATATTTGAACATAAATTTTAATAAGTATGAAGAAAACAATTCACTCCCACTATAAACAGGATAAATTATGTATTCTATGTATTCCTAGTAACTATTATACAAGGCTGTACAATTTGTGGCATGAGAACTTACCGAAGGGTGTCCACAGCTTCTGGTGTATGGTAGAAATGGGGTGGACTGATGGTAACAGAGGTTCCTAACTTTTCAATGAGTAGATTGCAAACATTCTGCATTTTTCCAAAGTCACTGAATATGATACAGACCTGGGAGTGAACACAGACAGCACACAAAGTTTTTTCATTTTCTCCCTATGACTTAACACTTGCATATAAATCTGTATAAAGCCAGATACGTAAAAACTGAGTAAACATAGTCCTGTGTATAACATCAAATTTATTTACTTAGAACACTTTTATATAGCCCTAGAGACTGTAATTAGGTTTTCAACAGAAAGTAGTTCATAAAATGGTTTAAAATTGAGGATTAAGAAGTGCTCTTTTGTGAGGAAGTGCGGCATTCTTGGTATGTAGGCAATCTGAAGAATGAATGTGCTCTTTGGGACACATGACCAGGTGCATCCCAGTTCTTCCCTTTTTTAGATTACTAGACGTTAATTACGCAAAATTTCAAGCAAAATGATGTGGAAAACATGGTTCAGGAAGTAAAATTACATTTTAATTCCAAGCATTAGGTTCAAGAAACTGAAACTATGAGAATAAACTACAGGTAGCCCAGTCCAGCTTGCAAGAGAGCTCAAAACCCTGCATTGGCTTAAAACTCACTTCAGTGCCTACAGAGAACTGGGTACTTCAGACTTTGATTAAAACCAATTTAAACATCTAGCTATCTGTGGCTTTGGCAATAAGAAGCATTAAATACAGATGCATCAGGAATTCAGGTGCTTTCCTGAGTGCTGCAAAGCAAGAATCACTGTCAGCCCTAGACAGATTTAGAGCCCTACCACCTTTCTTGTGGGGAAGTGCCAATCCAGGTGCTGACTTTCCAGGCAGGAGCCACCCTTTACCTGTAGCACAGCACAGTCACCAGGAGTGAAGCAATGATGCTGAGCTGCTACAGCATTCCAGAATCAGAAATCCTGGCTCCCAAATCCTGGTTTTGGGAGAACTATATTCCTCATGTTCACTTCCCAGTACAATGCTTTTACCACCAAGTCGGACTCAACCTCCCTTTTATTCCTGACTCATTCCTTTCTTTTTGTACACCTTCAACAGGAGAGGAATTAAAAAAGCGGTGGTAAAGAAAATCCTACTGCCAACCCCTGTGACATACAGTCAACCCCGTGATGGCTGCACTGCCTGTAGCCGTCTATCCCAGTGAAGTTATATGGTACAGAAATCTAAGTTATGGCACTTCAGTTGCACTGCAGTAACTTCCTGTGTATACCATAGACTTACCTTGTGGAAAATGAGATAAAATTCAAGGCAGTGGAACTGGTGAGAGAGGACGGGGTTACTTCACATACAGGACAAGGTAAAAAAATTGATATTGACAATTATCACAAAGTAACTACTGCACGTGTCTTACTGCCCATGGTGCAGTACATGTAAGCTCATCGTGGCTTGAATCATAGCACTGGCTCCATAGCTCTCCACATAACTAAGGCAAAGCTGAACTTAGAGCCTTAAAAATTGACCAAGATGAAGCGCCAGTGCAATTCCACCTTCCACTTGGACAAAAGCTCATGCCTGTCCTCCATAACTGCACCAAGTCTGCATCTTCACCTCAGCTCCGCAGCCTCTATCTGTAACTCAGGGGCTGGACTGCTTTCTGCAAGGCGCAGTATCAATTTGAACAAAGACTGAAGATGAGACCAAATCTAGATTTCTCTCTTCAGTGGGAGTTCTTGCCATATATAAAAAGCATGCATCCTCTTGTGCTGCTGTTTTGCCAGAAAACTGTCATGCTGTATTTTGTGAAAAGTTGGAAGTCTCACTGTGAGGACTTGTCACAGTGTTTTCCAGATTGCTATCAGTGTTTATGAGATTAGTTCCCTCAAGGGGATGAAACAAAAGAATGATCAAGCAAAAGAACTGCAAGTCTTAATCAAGAGATAAGCTGCTCAGACTGGGGCAGTTTGGGCACTCAGAAACTTTATTGTTAAAATGAAGCATTTAACCAGGTGCCCTCAGGGGCAGAAAACAACTGAGCAGTAACAGTGAATTTTGTTGGGTTTTCCCCATTTAAAAAAAAATCAGCTGAAAATAAATTCCACTTACATTTGCAGGGGGTACTTAAGCATTACAACGTAAAGCAGCATTTCCATTTCTTCAATTATGATTAAGGTTAAAAAATGTGAAAAAGCAATACAAGGGTATGCAAAACCATTATGGACATTGCAAGGTTTGGATAATGCTGTGAAGGACAAGAAGCTATAAGTTATAGGGAGGTGAGCAGATCAATAAATGTAAAAACCCACCATAGCATTCATTCCATGACAGTGTCATGCAATAAATTAACTATTACGATTTAGACACTATAGAGCTTTGTTATCTCATACACAACTTCATTCTTCTGAATGTTTTCCTTTGTTATACCATGAA